AAATCAAAAAGATCAAGGATAAGTTGGATAAATAGATACAGGGAGCAAACATGATTTGATAATGGAGGAAAGGAAAAGGCATGCACGGAAATGCAAAATACACACCAGTGGGTGGCATGTGGTACAGTTGAGAATGAGAATAAAAGCACCTCATCCTGTCCATTTTCAAAACCCTCTGAGTTTTGGGGTTTTTTTGTTTTTGTTTGTTTTTCTTCTGGTACGAGGAATCGAACTTACAACCTTGCCACTTGCCAGGCAGGCGCTTTGCTGCTGAGCTAAATCCCCAGCCCTCTGAGTTTTAATTGTATTAGAACATCGTATAATAACTAGTGTCCTTGATGGTTGTCATAAATCATCGAGACAAAAAATAAATTACGCTCTTCCTTTATTTTAAAAGTTAAGGTAAAATTTAACTCACAAATTTTCCAGCACAAATAATTAAGTAATTTTGGATGCTTTAAGAGATTTGAGTTTTTGGGAAACTTACGTGGAAAATGTACTAATTTCCTAATAATATCAGTGAATTCAAGTGTTCCAAAAGGGAAAACTGAAGTACTGGATTCTAAATTTTCATCACGAGGAAATTTCATCCTGTATATGTTAGCAGACATTTCTTAAATGCTTACATGTGTATAGTATTCTACAAACTGTTGCAGTTAGTACATTGTAACTTTCATTAAAATATTCTAACCCAGCCCGGTGTGGTGGCACATGCCTGTAATCCCAGCACTCGGGAGGCTGAGGCAGGCGGATTGTTGTGAGTTCGAGGCCAGCCTGGGCTACAAAGTGAGTTTAAGGCTAACCCGAACTGCATAGCAAGACCCTGTCTCAAAAAGACAAAAAAAAAAAAAAAAAATTCTAACCCAAATCTTATTTTCTGTTAAGGAAAGGGACCATTTAGATGCTCAGATTTGTTCATTTAGGGTAACATAGTTGCCCTAAATGCATATTGCATATAGTAAAGAATTTGGCAGAGTTCATACCTGATGAAGTTAGATTCTTTGAACTTACTGTCCCACTATAGGCAACAAATTCTAGATTTTAAGAAGTCACCTTAAAGTACTCGGGGCTTAGCCCCGGGAGGTAAGTCTGCATTACCAGTTTTGCCTTGAAGGCATTTGTGAACCACACATAGATACTGGTTCATCGGAACAAAGAGTGAGGGAAATGAAAGTCAAAGTCCAGACGGAGCAAGTAAAAATTATAAAGTCTTAGAGAAGTTGCACAACACATTGAGTCTTTTTTTTTTTTTTTTTGGTCTTTTTTGAGACAGGGTCTTGCTGTGCAGTTCAGGCTGGCCTTGAGCTCACTTTGTAGCCCAGGCTGGTCTCGAACTCACAACAATCCTCCTGCCTCAGCCTCCCAAGTGCTAGGGTTACAGGCATGAGCCACCACTCCTGACCTTAAATTAGAGTCTTTGAAGGACTGTATTACTAGAACCAAACCTGCTCCCCATCTTTCAAACTCCTGGGGCCTATAAAAAAGATGCCTTGGCAGTGGGTCAACTGGAAGAGAGAAAAGGAAAGGAACTGCTTCCCTGAGAAGTTGTGGTCACCAACTGCTCCCTTGCACATTTGCGTACTGGCTGTACATCCAGTGAGTGGGTCAGGGGATCTCAGACAGTGCATTTGGGTTAGGTCCTGCTCCCCAGTAGCCTAGCAGAACCAAACAGAGCTTCACTGGAAGAAAGCATTTTCATCTCAACCTCAGCAAATCAATCCACTATAAATGATCTTGAAGGGCAGAGATTGCTATCAGAAGCCACCAAGATACACAGGGGTAAAAGGCAGAGGGAGAACCACTAACGGGAAATTAAAAAACAAATACTCAGTTACCAATTACAAATACTCAATACAAGTACATATACTCAAAAACAATTAGCATAGTTATCAGACACATAAAACAAACATGCTTACTTTGTATAGCAAAATAAATGAACAATAACTACAGAGAACAATAAATTGAAAAAATAGCACAGTCAATTTGTTGGGGGGAAATTCTTGTAGAAAAGAAAAAAATAATCAAAATTAAAATCTCAGTGAACATTTTATCAGCAGATTGGACTTAGCAGAAGAGAGAATTGGGAACCAGAGATAAATTAGAAGAACTTATTTGAATGCTGCAAAGAGAGACACTATAGGAGACTACACAAATCGGAGAAAAGGTATGGAAGATACAAATGTCATTTTAATAGTGGTCCTAAAAGGAGTAAAGAGAATGGCTGGGGATTTTCAGAAATTAATGAAAGGCACCAGTCTACTAGAGACCTGCAAATCTCAAACAAAACAATAAAAAAGAAGCACACACCATAGGAAAAAGTCAGAAAATCAACCAAAAAATGAGGTTACCTTCAAAAGAATATTTGACGTTTGAGCATCTGAAACCAATAGAATAACATCCTAAGTGTACTGAAAGAAAAGAACTACCAGTGTAGATTTCTACACATAGTGAAAATCTCTTTCGAGAATGAAAATGAGCTGGCATGATGGCCCATGCCTGTAATCTCAGCACTCACGAGGCTGAACTAGGAGGATCGCTGTGTGTTTGAGGCCAACCTGGGCTGCATAGTGAGTTCAAGAGCAACCTAGAATATAACAAGACCCTGTCTCAAAAAATAAAAAACAATGAAAGTGAAATAAATACATTTTCAAACAGAAACAATTCATCAGCAAATCATCACTACAGAAAATGCTTAAGATGGGGCTTCGGGCAAAAGTAAAAGCACAAATGGAATGTCTTATATGCAGGAACAAATGAAGAGCAGAGGAAGAAAAATTTGTGAACAAACATAAGAAATGTTGCTTATATAAAAGTGATAATGTCTTGTAGGACCTAGTCAGAATGAAAAAGTAAAATATCAGACAATGTTTTTAAGTTGCAGGATGGATATAGGAAACTGGAGTTAAAGCTGCCAAAATCCTTGTATTATCCGGGAAAAAATAAATGTTTTTATTATCTCTAGACTTTAATAAGTTAAGATTGTGTCTAAGGTAGCCAGTAAAAAAGTATAGGAAAACATTGTGTAATTTCTGAACTAACAAAGGAGGTGAAAAAGAATGATTATTAAGATTTGTATTCAACAGACTGAGTCTAATACGTGTATAGAAATGCAAAAGGCCAAGGATAGCCAGAATGTTAGGAATCACACTGACAAGATGTGAGGACCGGCTGTACTTGAGATAAAGAATTATTAGAAGGCTACCATAACTAAAGATTGACATTAATGCAAGGACAGAAGAGAACCTAGGAACAGACCCGTGCACTTACGTATACTTGATACATGACAAATGGAACTGCAGAAGAAAGGAAAAGAGACTTCAGTAAGTGTGTTTAGTCACAAAATCAACTCCATGTGAATTAATCTCAAGGACGATGAAAAAAATCATAAAAGTTTGAGATAGGGAAAGATTGTTTTAAAGCAAGACTGAAAAGCTCTAACCATAAATGAAAAAGATTAAAATTTAAATCTTTGGTCATCAAAAGAAACCATAAAAGGACAAGCCATGAAAGGGGAAAGATACTTACAGCATATTACTAACGAAGGACCTGTATCTGACTATGAAAAGAATTCTTAGAATGCAAAGGGAAATAATAACAGGACTTGACAAGGCATTTCACAAAAGAGGAGGCTCAATAGGTACGTGAAATAAACTCAGACACTGCCAGGTATGGTGGTGCACACCTGTAATCCCAGCATTTAGGAAGCTGAGGCAGGAAGATCACAAGTTCAAGCCCTGCCTGGCAGTGTGGTGAGACACTGTCTCAAAAAATAGACCTAGTTACGTCACTCATTGATAAAGAGCCTCTGAGTTGAATCCCCAGTTCTGGAAAGAACAAATCTTCAAACACAATGAAATATTTAATGCATGTTGATAAAATACAACAATACCAAGTGTTGGTACACTTGTACAGCAACACAACTCTTGCACATTGCTGGTGGTGATGTACATTTGGTACAGTCAGGTTAGTGTTTTCTAATAAAGGTGAAGATAACATGTAATCTGTGACCTAGCAATTCTGTTCCTAAATTTATAATATAGAGAAAAGCATGCACATGTACATTGTTAATGGTACAAGAATATTCGCAGTAGTGTTTATAAGAGCCTGAAATTGTCTGTCAGGAGTAAAACGAATAAATTACTAATATTCTACAACAGTTAAAATAAGCTTCAGTTACCTGTAACATGAATGAGTTCACAATGTTGAAGGAAAGAAGCAAATCACAAAAATACACGTTGTGATTCAATTTATATGAAGTTTACAATAACCATAAAACTCTGAGCTATATTAATAAGGGTTGGAAGACTTTCCTTTAAAGTCCAGGTAATAATTTAGACTTAACTGGCCTCTATTGAAACTACAGCTGCTTGACTCTGCCACTGAACATAGTGGGAAAGCTGTCCTGGATACTCCACTGCTGTGTTGCAGCAAGCACTAACCTGTAGCTTACAGGTGCATGTATTCAAGATAATAGTGTGTTTAAAGGAAACAAGGCTGGGAGAAGGATGATAACCTTAGCAGGTTCTTGAAAGAGGACAGGTTTATGGTCAGGGAAGGGTGAATGGGTACTTCTGGAATTTAGCCATGACTTGTGTCAAGGTTGCCGGAGTGGTGTTCACTTTGTGTGTTTTCTATTTTATGTAAAAGTTGTATAAGAAGTTGTATATCCCAGTAAAGCAGGTTTTAAAAAATAAAATTTGTTGGTGCTTCCTTAACTGGTGGTAGTTTGCATTTGAATTACTCTACTTGTTTTCTGAAACTTCTATTAAATATTTCTAAAAGAATTTAAATAGTAATATAAAGCTCATCTTGCATGTGATTTCTTTTCAAATCATGTAAACAATTTAACTACAAAGAAAATGCAGAACACTATTTTTGATTAATAATTCAGAACATGAATACTCAAAAGAGGTTAGAGGCTTAGATATATGACTTGCAGTTAATATCTTGGCTTTTTTGCACAAAAGCACTAACAGCTGTCCTCTTCATTCTCCTCACAGGCTCAGTAGATGAAGGTGTTACCGAGGGGTTGCCTACACTTCAGAGCACTTCTAGCACTAATGCTCATGCGGATGACGATGATCGGTTAGTACTGTGTAGTTTTCTTTTTAAGGCTGTGCTTACAACTCTAAATTCAAGTATTTTATCTTAGAACTGAGACCTCTGCACTTCAGTATACTTTTCAAAGTAATGAAGTAGCATACTAGGCACCATGGCACACGCCTATAATCACAGCCCTCAGGAGGCAGAGGCAGGAAGATCACTGTGAGTTTAAGGCCATCCTGAACTACTGCATAGTGAAACCCTGTCTGAAAAAGACCAAAATTATATATATATATATATATATATATATATATATATATAGTCTTCTTTGGTGTGGTGGCTGTAGCTCCAGCACTCAGGAAACGGAGGCAAGAATCACTACAAGTTTAAGGCCTACCTGAACTACATAGCATGACCCTGTCTCAAAAAAAAAAAAAAAAATCACCGAGTCCTGATACCCATGGTTCCCAAGTCATTGTCTTCACTCAACCCTTTCTGCTTGATATTTCCACGTGGATGGATAAGAGGCCTTTCACACTTAAGGCCAAGACAGAATTCTGACTTGCCCTCTGAGTCCTGTTCCTCCAGTCTTTTTCCCATTACATCTTTCAATTTTTTTAGTGCAGTCTCTGAGAGTTACTCATTCTTCTTTTCAGCACTCTATACTTTTCCTTTCCCTAAATGTAATCCTTAAACAAGCCTTATCAAGTCTGCCCCCAGAATATTATATCCCCAGCCCCCACTCGGTCTCCCTTTCCATTGTCTGTACTATAACCACCCTAGTTTGTCAGCATCTTTTGCTTTGACTACTGCAGTGACCTTCAAAGTAGCCCTTGATTTTATTCTCATTACTCAAGTCCATTCTTCATATAATAGCCAGAATCGTCATTTTTCTAAGTTGGATTTTCACTATTTTAAGCTATAGATAGTTAATATTGTCTATTCATACTTAAAAACTAGACTCTGTACTATGACACTACATGATAGAACTTTTGCCTAACTCCCATCAGATCATTCTTCCCCTTGCATACTACATTCTAGTCACATTGACATTCTTTCAGTTCTTGAAATATTTGTATTTGTTCCTGCTACTACTTCATGGCCTTTACCTGAAATGTGTTCTCCCTGACTTTCATTCACATTATTGGCTTCCTCTTAACCTTCAGATACTGTCTTGGTCACAGTTCTCATGGAGGCCTTCCCTGATCACCAACCTACCCCAGCATTCAATTACTATTTATGTTGTCCTACTTTGACTTTCTGATTATTTGCTTGATAATAGATTCTTTCTCATCATTGATTATTGGCTTCACAAATGAACTACTCATACAGACTGTAGGACAATCTTAAAAACTATACTTGATAAAACTTGAATTGAAGAGTTTCACTCAGCAAGGTTAGTTATGAATAGCTAACCTGGAGTTAGCTGCCCTGTTTGAACAGATTATGGACCAGAATTACTTGGGAGTTAGTAAAATCATAAGCAGAAATGTGCCTAGATTTCTTAGTTTCAAATGCTAATCAAGTCATCTACTCTTTCTTAAATACTGTGTGCATGATGAGGGTATACAGGTGAAATGCATACCCTTTTTCCTGAAGGAACTTGATCAATTTTAGGAGAGAGGTTGAAGATAGACAAGTAGTAAGCAAGTCATTGTGAGTGATTGCAGAGTGTTTGACTACTGTACATCAGGGAGTACCTACCTGAGCCACTGATAAATCAAGTCTTCCAGAAGCAGGATGTGACAACTTAGCTACATTTTTTTTTCCCTGAGACAAGGTCTTCCTATGTAGTTCAGTTCCTATATAGTTCATGGCCTCGAACTCACTATGTAGCCCAGGCTGGCCTCAAACTTGCAGCAGTCATCCTTGCCTCCTGAGTACAGGGATTACAGGCATGCGCCACTATGCCTGGCTTTGCTACATTTTCTAAAATGAGTGGAAATTATATAGCAAAAAGAAAGTAGGATAGTTGAGAAAGTTAAATGTGCAAAAGTATGATATTGAGAGAGATTCTGGTACTTTGGAGGGATTATTTGATATAGGATATGTGGTTGGGAGTATGACAAGAAATGAGGCTGTTGAAGGTTGAGTTCAGATGTGAGGAGTCTGGTGTGACTTAAAGAGGGGTCAAGATTTCATTCAGAAGACTAATGCTTTGAGGACTTTAATGAGGGAGGCTGATTTAACCATAAAAAATAATTATGATTCAGTGAGAAAGGTGGATTAGAAGGGTGTGGAGTTGAAGAGAAAGAACTATTAATTTGGGTGTGTATTGATGCAGGCCTAAATTAAAGCGTAGCAGGAAGGAAGGAATTAGGGAGATGAAGAATGACTTAATGGTAAAACTGTTTTAAAAAGTCTTGCAGTGTTTTTTTCTTTTCTTCATTTAAAATTGACCTGCAGAAATGTTTATTCAACTTTAAAGTCAGAGCCTGGTTGCCTTTTTTGATTTATTTTTTTAGACTGGAAAATGTTCAGTATCCCTACCAACTCTACATTGCTCCTTCTACCAGCAGTACAGAACGACCAAGTCCAAATGGTCCAGACAGACCTTTTCAGTGTCCAACCTGTGGGGTGCGATTCACCCGTATTCAAAACCTAAAACAGCACATGCTCATCCACTCAGGTAATATCATCTTCTCTGCTGTTGCATAAGTGAGCAGTCTCAAACATTTTATTTTGGAGCCTCAGTTGAAATAAAAAGCATGTAATTAGGAGAAAGGGAAAAAAAATTCTGGGAAGTCAAATGAAAATAGATTAGCTTAGGTCTGTTGCTGAAATGGTGCAGTATCAGAAAAAATATTTGTAATGCATTTACCACCAGTATTGAGTACTATATTCTGATTAAAACTTGCAGGCAATATGCAATGTATAATACATAAACTAAAAGGTGTATATCAGGGGCATTTGTATATGTATATAAGACAGAAACACAAATGGTAAAGTAAGTGGTATTAAAAACATAATGGTTGTTGTTTGTATCATTCTTTTAACTTTTCCGTCAGTTTGAAATTATTTCCAAATAAAAAGTGCTTTAAAAGATTTAATATTTTACTATTATCTTACGTCATCCTAAATTTCTCTGTGCTTTGATTAATCAGCTTTGTAGTTTTTTTTATTTTTAGTGTTAGATTTTGGATAAATGTGTAGATGAGATTTTAGTATAACTTAAGTTCAGTGGTCACATAAAGGTGACCATTCTTGTATTCATTCTTCCCCTTCCTAGTCAGGTTTCATGGTCTCTGCCCTAACATGTTTCCTGTGATATTAAGTATACAGATTGTGTTTTACATATTTTTAATTCGATTTCCCTAAACTGTGATGTTTTAAGAAAACTGTTAATGTACTTTGTAATTCATTTATTAATTTCCATCAGTATTATGTACTGAAAGAGCCAATTCATCAAATGATAACTGTGTCATGATCATTACATAAAGCTGTTACAATTTTCCTGTTTTTCTTCTCATTTTTTTCTCAAGATGAACAAAATTGAAATGAAATTGTAAATGTTGTTATGTGAGAATTTTGGTTCTGTCTACATACTGCAGTTAAAAAGTATTATGAAGTCTATAAAGTAGATGATTTAGAATATTCAGAAACAGTCTCATCACCTATTACCTAGTTTGTCTCCTCTCCATCCTCCCTTAACTTTTTAAGTACTAGTAATTTTTACATAGTACCTGCCTTCTCTGATGTATCAAAATAGAATACTTTTTGGTGATAGTTTTTGTCTTTTTAAATTATTGCAACACAGCTATATAGTTCAGAAATTTTTGAGGGTTATGGCCTTTTAGTTTATTGTTTTCATGTTATTTTCTTTTACTATATTTTATAGGAATTAAACCGTTTCAGTGTGACCGCTGCGGGAAAAAGTTCACCAGGGCTTATTCGCTAAAGATGCATCGCCTAAAGCATGAAGGTAAACGCTGTTTCCGGTGCCAGATATGTAGTGCCACTTTCACTTCCTTCGGGGAATATAAACACCATATGAGGGTTTCCCGGCACATTATCCGCAAGCCTCGGATTTACGAGTGCAAAACATGTGGCGCCATGTTCACCAACTCTGGAAATTTAATCGTGCACCTGAGGAGTCTGAACCATGAAGCATCAGAGCTAGCAAACTACTTCCAGAGCAGGTGAGGTGCACAACAAAAACCCAACAGGAAAACTGCTTTCTGAACTCTCTTTTCCTGCTTTCAAGGCAGCCTGCTGCGTTATTTTATCAGGTTGTCAGCTAATCATTATATTCATTTTAAATTCCCAGTGTCCGTTCTATGATCTCTTGATCTAATAAAAATTTTTCTGGATCTCCTAAGTATATAAAGTTATAAATACTTCATAATTGGTATTCAGAATATTTTGCTACAAAATAAAAACTTTAAATGTGTATGTGTATATATAGATATATACATATATTCCTACAGAAGTAGATCCTTAATTTTTTTTTTTTTTTTTTTAATAATTCGAAGTTCAAGTAATTCTGTAGTAGACCTTAAGTAGATCTTTTTAGAAAGTATACCATGTCAGATGATACTTAATAATATCAGGGTACTTCACACACTGGATGTTAGTAAAATATTTAACCACTTTCTTTTTCTTCCTCCTCCTGTCTTTCTTGTCTCCCTCCCTCTTATCTCTCTCTCTCTCTCTCTCTCTCTCTCTCTCTTTCTCTCTCTCTCTCTCTCTCTCTCTCTTTATCTTCCTGCCATCCTATGTAAAGGAATATCCATTAGCCAGTAAGAAAGGGACTCTGACAGCAGTTATAATGGGTAGGATGATTTAAATCAGTGAGGTCTTTTATTCTCTTTCAGTTTAGAGCGCCAAATTTTAACACTAATTATTTATAATATAATAGAGTTGTTCTTCTGATTCAGGGCACCCAAGGAAATCAGGTTGTAGTTCTGGCTCTGCTGTTTGATTATACATGTTACTTTATAGATGAATTAGCTTGAAATTTAGCAAAAGATAAAATGTAAACCTTGAACAAGATAGTTCCTTTTTTTCCCCCAAATTTTATGGTATATTTTAGCTATACATAAGGATCACATTCTGAACAAGATAATTTCTAAGCCCTTCTCTAAATAGAAAACTCTATTGTGTGTTTTTAAATACTTTATATGAGAATTTTACCTCTGTAAGAAACCTTAGTTATAAATCTTTACATTTTAAATTACTTTTATTTTTAAAGCTATTTTTTAATAAGTTCCAAATTATTCCTACATAGATTTTCCCTTCATACCATACATTCATTTGATTTGTTTCTAATTCTGCACGATTGTCACAAACCTAGACTATATATATCATATTAAACATAGTTGTTTAGAGCTAAAATAAGTTCCAGTTAACAACTCCTGTGCCTGTGTCTTCTTGTGCAGAGTCCTTACCCTTCCTTTATTTTATCTAACCCCTGAAGACTTTTTAGATTTCAGTATAGAACACTGGAAATTGCTTTGCAGATGAGCAGGTTTTAGTTTTCCTATGAGTACTGAATAATTCAGTTATAAAATGGCCTTATCAAATGTATTAGTATTAGAAGTCCTAGTATAATGAGACTTCTTCGTAATGAAGATTTAGATTTATCTATGATAAGACTTACTTCATGTTTGTTTTTAAATACCCAAAAATGATTAGAAAATATCCACTATGAACATTACAGTACATTTTACTGTTCACGTTTCCTGTGGAAATCAGTAATTTAGTGCTTTTTTCAGGACAAACATAAGTAGTCCAAGGTACTCATTGCCAAATTCTGATTCAAACAGAATTTATTACCATATTCAGATCTATTAGCAAGATACACATAAATTGTTTTCTATATTTCTCACCTTTACAAATTAGATTATGTGTAAGTCATTTATGTATGCATAATGATTTAATTTCTTAATTAATAAAATAAATACAGGTTTGTATGCCTCTTACTGTGTCATCCCAGAAGTTAAACATTTAAATTATTCAGATAATCTTTGCATAAGTGAGCAGTCTACTTGTATTTGTTTTGTAAACATAGACAAAGAGGCTGTTTCCTCTCTGAGGGTCCCTCAAGGATTCACCAGCACTTTTGTTCTAATGGATGGCATTGGTTCATATTTAGGACAGTTTCTAAATTGAAAGTTCTGAGTCCTAACTTTATTGGAGAAATTGTGAAATAAAAAGTCCCAATCTTGATTTACAGATTATATCTTTTTATTGTATTCCATTATAGATTTCAAATTAACTCATATTTCACCCTTTGCCTCTTACCTAGTGATTTCCTAGTACCGGACTACCTAAACCAAGACCAAGAAGAGACCCTTGTTCAGTATGATCTTGGAGAACATGGTTTTGAAAACAACTCCTCTGTTCAAATGCCTGTAATTTCACAGGTCTCTTCCACTCAGAATTGTGAAAGCACTTTCCCCTTGGGATCTCTTGCTGGGCTGGCAGAAAAGGAGGAAGACATGCCAGAGCAGCTGAAGCCCAGCACGCGTGCTGACGCTACCAGAGACGACCCCCCACAGTCAGAGCTGTCTTCTATAACTATCCAGTAGTTTTGTGATTTGGCTTCATTTCTTGGAAAGTGCCTGTGCTTGGTCTTGTACATTTAAATTTAATTTAATTTTTTAAGCAAGAAAGGGTTTGGGAAAGAATCTCCCTTTTCATTTTGTAAGCCCTGCAACTGAGTTTTATTTTCTTAACTGAGAAATTGCTTCTGTAAGGATACGGTAACATAATATTGAGAGAAATCATGAAACCCAGGAAAACCAGTTGACTTGAAACATGTACCAGTTTTTTTCTTTAATTATTAAAGGTAGGCTAACAGCAGATCATTAGGTAAAAAAGAAATCAGATGATTATTGACCTGATTGTCCTAAGATTAAAAGGTACGTGAGAAACAGTTACTAAGCAGAATTTGACTGATGGCTTGAGTAGATGTTTACTTACTTGCATAGGACGTTGTAAAGCCTGTGTTTTTTGGAAGTGTTCATGGTAAGCTTTCTTAAAAATCACTAAATACTTCTGAAATCCAGCATACTTTTTTTAAGCTTTGTCATTTCTATTATGGTTTTTTTTTTTTTTTAAATGAAAATTTGTATTAGATAGGCATTCCCCATACCTTTTAGTACCACTCCAAAGGCAAAGAACCATGACTAAGAAGTCAGGCTGTGGATGAAATGACAGGGAATGCAGAATAAAATACACAAATCTGAGCTTCATAGAAACTCTTCTAGTACTGCTTGTCTGACTAAAATTGACATTTAACTGGTCTTTGGAGGTTAATGTCTAGTAACTAGGTCATTGCCCAAATCACTTTTCTCTTAGGCCCATCAACAGTACTTTCTCTTGCGTATGCCAGTGTGCTACCATATAAAGTGAAAATATTAGAGATATTCTATATTTTATATGTAGGTTTATGTATTGTTGGAGATGTTTCTACTGTGCTGTTTTGGACAAAATAAAGAATTCTGTGTTGAGGTTAAGTTCTTAACTAAGATTGTTTACAAAATCCCATGACAATGATACTATCCTTGTTCCAAAATAGTTTTAGACATTGCCAAATTTATTAGAGCAGTTACTATAGTTTTTACACAGTGTAAGCAATAATATAAAAGATAAGGCTATAAAGTGATCATCTATGACTATCTGGAAGAGCAAATTGTTAAGACTTAAAAAAAAACCTAAAAAACTTAAAGTAATGAATATCACCTTTTGTGCTGCTAAGATGATGAAATTTATGTGATGCTCAAGACTAGGATAGCAGGGTGTGGTGACACACAACTATAATCCCAGCACTGGGGAGGCTGAGGCAAGAGGATCACTGCAAGTTCATGGCCAGCTTGGGCTACATAGTGAGTTGCAGGCCAGTCTGAATTACAGGGCGAGACCGTCTCTCAAAAAAACAAAAAATGAAAAAAGAAAAGACTAGGATATACTTTTCATCTGGTGTCATTAAAGCATCTTTGACTTTGGTCAGAAATATTTGTGACTCCATGAATAATGAACTTTCAGTATCATTTTTGTGTATATAAAAGACCCAAAGTTGAATAATAATTATGAAACTGATTAGAAAATTATGAAATGTATTAGAAAAGAGAAACAAAATAGTCATACAGAAATTTAAAGTTTATTCAGGTGCTAGGCCTTACTAAATATATTTCTTAATTTCAGTGATTTGTTTTTTGTATAATTTATTCCTCCTCTCCCATAAATGTAAAGAAAAAGTCAACTCACTAGAATTTTTTTAGGTTAATATTCTATCTCTGCTTATATTGTGCTGTCCTTCACTGCAATTTGGGGGTGGGTACTAGGGATTGAACACAGGGTCTTGCATGTGCTAAACATTTATTTGACCACTGAGCTATGTTATTCTCCCCCATTTCCAATTTTGTGCTTCACTCATGAACCTATTTTTAACTCACTTTGCCCTTAGCCTTTATGTCCAGTTCTGTGTTTCATTTACAAACTTGCTTTTTGTTTTGTTTTGTTAATTCCAAACATAAGTGTACTACCTTCAGGAAAATTGGCGTTTATAAGTTATGGGTTTCTACAGTTTATGATTCTTTACTGGTAGGATTAAATTACTTTGTGCAAAAGACTGCTGTGTCTCAAATGGAACTATATGTCTTAAAATTAATCCTAAAATTCCATGCTAACAAAGAATAGAAATCACCATTGCTCTTCAAAAAGGAGGAAAGAAATTTTATTTAAACTGTGTAAGAGTCACTAATAGACTTCCCAGTTGAAAATGTTTTAGCACATCCCCTTTCTTGAGAATTCTACAGTGAGAGAGCCCTTGGCAGCGGGCAGCTGTAAGGGATTCTGACTATATCTTCACCATGAAGAACTGATCACTAGATATTCTTTCCCAGATGGAAACTCTAGGTTTTCATTGGTAATTACGAATTGTACAGACTTCCAGGTTTCATAGGAAATTTGAATATACTGTGAAAATGCATATCTAGTTAGTTACTCCCCAAATCTTAACAGGTAACTTCGGTATTTAACATGAAATGATAGAGGCCTTTCCCTGTTTCAGGGAGGCTCTGTATTTTTCTTGATACATGCTTTGAAGATGTTTTGTTCATAGATCTGTTTAAGAAAACAAAACTGCAAGAGAGTAACTGTATATATAGTAGTATTTAAATTTATTTAAAATTCATTTAAGCTGGGCATGGTGGCACATGCCTGTAATCCCAGCACTCGGGAGGCTGAAGCAGGAGGATTGATGCGAGTTTGAGACCAGCCTGGGCTACAAGTTAGCTCAAGGACAGCCTGAACTGCATAGCAAGACCCTATGTCCAAAAAAATAAATAAATAAATAAAGTTCATTTAAGAGAAGGGTACCTGGATGTATAATTTTTACCAGAATATATGGAAAACATTGCAAAGATGAAGCTAGTTTAGAATATTTAAGCATAGCTAGCTTTCTTAAGTCCCAGGAGGGTACCTTTGTGATATTTAAAGGGCTTAAATTGTAGAATGCAAGAAAAATTACCTTTTTAAGACCAAGCATTTTATATTAGAAAAGTTTTTATTTTCAGTTTTTTAGCTACCAAATACATACCCCTTAGAAGCAAGCAAATATATTCCCCATGATACTGGATACTATTGCTTCTTCAGTCATTGTTTTCATTTCTAAGGATATATTCTAACAGTGGAAGCAAATTAGCATGTCAGTGATTCTACTTACTCCAGAAAAAATACTGGTTTTTATTTTAAGTAATTACACATTTATTTACATTGCCAGATTTTTGTGTTTTTTTGAGTTTGCAATTTCAGTAAAACAAAGTAATACTGAAATGTTTAAATAGCCTCATTGTCTTATATTTAAAAACTTAAGCAACCATTCTTCTGGCTTACAGCAACTAGATTCCATGTTAGGACACATGCCCTTTGGTTTGAAAACAAATTCCATTTTGTTAAAATATTTTACCAAATGGGATGAGTTTGTCAACACATCTGATAGACTTAATCATTGGTAACCAAGTTACTTACTTTGTACTTACTGAACTTGATTGTTCAGTCTGTAATGCTTCCCTAGGAGCCTGTGGAAGTTATACTAAATCTTTCTTTCATTGTTTTCTCTTATTTTAGTCTCTTAATTTACATGAAGGCCAGGTATATAGTCTAGTGTTTGGTTTTATTTAGCTTTTAGTACTGGGGATCAAACCATGGGCCTCATGTGCTAGACAAGCACTCTATCACTGAGCTACATCCCTGTCTGTTCCTTAATAGCTTTTATTTAGAAGATTCTCAGCACATGTTTTAGATCCTTTTAGCTTTGTAGTCCCTGAAAACTACATTATTATATAATTAATGGTATTTCTGTACTAGTATATCACATAGAAAACTTATTTGATGAACAGTCTGAAATTTTTAAATTTTTTTGGCATAAGTCTGTAATCCCAGCATTCCAGAGGCAGGAGGATCGCTGCAATTTTGAGGCCAGCCTAGGCTACATAGCAAGACCCTGTCTCAAAAACCAAAAACAGTTTTAATATTTTTATTGAAAATACTCTTACGATTTATGGAATTGATGAACAAGAGAATTTAAAATTTTTTGATGTAGTAGTTACTGTTCCCCTCATCTATAACATAGAAACTTAGCACTCTGAAATGTATATCCAAGTAAAAGAAAACAATTTTCCAGTTACTAAGATTATCTGGGGAAAAGAAACTAGTTAAGTTCACATTTGGAAGGAACAAGCCCAAAGTTACTAAAAGGAAATTAATAAGATTTTCACTGTAAGTTATTGATATAAGATGCTTTATAATATATTTAGATTTTGAAAGTTATTGAGGGAGGCTGGGCATGGTGGCACACACCTGTAATCCCAGCACTCGGCAGGCTGAGGCAGAAGGATTACTGTGAGTTCAAGGCCAGCCTGAGCTACAAAGTAAGTTTGAGGCCAGCCTAAACTGCATAGTGAAACTCTCTGTCTTAAAAAAACAACAAAAAAAAGTTATTGAGAGAAAAATATATAGAAAGTAGATTTATTTTCTCAGTGGAACAAATTTAGGGGAGTGGGGGTGTGATATCGCAGTAAACATATCTATGAGGAATATTTAGAGATAAGCATACTGCCCCAGGCTTTAAGGTCAGATCATCAAAATTAAAGTTACTCCTTTGTCATTTTTGCTTAACAGAATGTAGTGATGTAGGGTATTTTTATTTGAAAGTCCTCAGCAAGACACATTAGCCAAAACCAATAATGGTTCCTCTTAACACAGTGGAGCGGAATTGTGCCAGTCCTCATACTGGACTGGAATGCTTTATGGATGTTTCACTTCAGGTATGTAGAGATTTGTGTCACACTGTTTATGGGAAGTTAAACCCCTGTGTCAGATACAGTGACAGCACAGTACTAGTTACCATCAAGAGTCGTGGTTCTGTTTGTATTACAGAAAAAAGTTACATCTTTTTTAAAATAGTCCTCTCAGAAGTTCCAAACACTGGTAACAGAATCTGAGTTTGGCAGTACAGTGTCTGAAAATGAGATTCCCTAACGTGGTCGTCATGCTTTCGTTAAGCTTCCCCTGCACAGGACCCAGGCCAGTTCCAACCGTAACACCGAGGTTCCTGTGTGCATAGTAGTTGGGTTGGAAATGAAACATTCAGTAAAAAGAATTGTTCTAAACAAAATGTTTTGAGTTTGAAGTTGCTGGTTTATAAAATCAATGTATTCATTTCCTCTCTCTCAAACTGACAAATTTTGCTGATTAAGCCTGAAGTCCTGAGCTCACTTGTGATGATTTATTGATAAAATTGCTGCTTAATTATCTGAGGAGCTGCAGTATCATGACTGTTACTAAACTGCCTTTGTTTTCCCAAATGCCAACGTGACCATCCAGATTTTATTTGATTAAATAAATTAGAAAAGCATTCTGTAAGTGAATGTTCCGTTTACCAAAGTGCATCACCTGCTGAGGTAGGACGCATCCTCGTTGCTCTAGGAGAAGCTGCCATCTCCTCTGGATGCATACTGTTTCCTTGGTGTTAGCAGAGGCCGTGTTCGTGAGATGGGCATCCCTTCATGCAGTTCTTAGAAACACTTGCTTTCCAGAGAGAACCTTTTCTATGATCAGGTTATGAGTGTGTTTTCTCTAGGAGATTTCTTTTTAGTTCAGTATCAATTTAATTTTCAAATTGACAGATGCTATGTAATAAAGTCTCTCATACTGAGAGTAGTCCATTAAATTTTTGAAAGTTGCACTGTTTTTCATCTTTCAGGTACCTGAAATGAATGACATCAGGTATTTGGAAGGAATAAGATCATAAACTTATTTCATTATCTTCCTTGTACAAAATGATGGCTTCTAATGCTTATATTTCAAGGTATTTTTTAAAAACCAGCAATTCCTGATAGAGTAACATTTTATTGTGATCCAAATTCCAAATAATATACTTAATTTTTCTGTTACTCGTGACTCCTGTTGCATCAGATAGAGATTGCTTGCCTCTTTGTAGGGCACCCTTACGGCACCTTATGTCCAATTTGGAGGATAGTACATGGCTTCTTTGTGCCTCTGCTATCTTTTCAAAAGCCATTTTATAAAAATCCTAGGTAGCCTATTTTAATATTAAAATATATATATTTGTGAAAGATACTTTTAGAACAGACTTTTTTTTTTTACTTTATAATTCCTGTATCCCATTTTTAAGAGAAAATTTAAGCT